CATCTATGTTTGTACCATGAAAAACCCCCACAATTGAAGAAGGGGATGATCAGTAGTGTATTTTAAATGTTAGAGAGGGCGCCTTGCTTCAGTTGAAGACAAATTTTTAAAGCAAAATACAACGAAAAAATAACCAGACAAAAAATCTGAAAACCAGTTTTTAGCCCATCAAAAAAAAAATGTGCAAAATGCAAAATGCGATTTTTGGAGTCTCTAAAAATGTCATTGTTTCAGTTTAAAAATTGCAAGAAATATTTTAAAATAATATTTGCCATTTATTTTTTTTCAAAATTAAATCCACTGATAAAAATTTGTTTAAAAAAATGTGGTTTTCATAGTTTAAAGTATTTATTGCAAAAAATATTTCATAAATAATAAAAAATTATACAATATCAATCAAATGAATTAATTTTCAATTCAAAAAATTTTTTTTTCTCATACAATGAAAATCATAAAAGAAAAACGTAAAATATTTATTGTAGTCCATCTACTTTCTTTTCTCTATTTTTTCTTATTTATACTCGAAACAAAATCCTGTTCTTACTCAATGTTGCGTACATACGTTGCAGCAAATGGACAGAGACGGCAGATGTTGTGGAAAGAATCTTCAAAATATGAGTTTCCAGTTCAAAGTTTTCTTATACGAGTTTATTTGTTCCTAGAAGTATGATAATTTTTTTTTCTTTTATAGGTGGGTATTAAAAATGGTGTTTATTCCTTAGACACGAGTAGAAGTAGCACAACTTTATTAAAAGTGGTTTTTATCTTAGTGGTGAAAAAGTTAATAATAATACCACAAAACTTTTTTTTACTCATAATTTTTTGGTAGAGATTCTTGAGTTTTAAACAACACTTTACCACTCACCATCTATCTGTTTCAGGTCGAATAGAGTGTAAAAAACTGAATTTTAGTTAATTTACTTTTAAATAACTCACAATAGTTTATTATAAATTTTTTATTATTGTAGTTGCTCTTTATTTCATGACTTCATGATAATTAATGTGAAATAAAAAATCAACAATTAAACTGAAACATTTAAAAAAATTTATAAAAAAAAAATGGAAATGAATCAGAAAGAAAAAAAAGTTGATTAATCTATATTAGAAGCTCTCAGTTAGGCTAGAAGATGTTAAAATTATCATTTCAACAAAAATATTTGAAAATTTACTGAAACAAATTTCAAAACTAGAGACAATTTAAGTGTTTTTAAACAACATGAAACAAATTCTAATAAACTGAAAACTTTTTTATGCGCAAATGTGACTACTTTTATACAAATATGTCAAATAAAAGTTTTACTTCTCAGCCACCTAAGCATTTTTACTTTTACCATGAATGACGCTTTTGCACTACTAACTGCACTAGTTAAGCTGTTTACTCTTGATCTGTGATCTGATTATGCAAATTATTGAAAAATAGACGGCACAAAACTATCACTTTTGCTCCTAGTAGCATAATATAGTGTTAGTCCCCTCTTGTTGTGTCTAACGAAATTAAAAGCCTCGTGTTGGTAGTAGTAAAAATGGTTTTTATCTTAGGGGTGAAAAAGTTAATAARAATACTACAAAACTTTTTTTTACTCAACATTTATTTTAAAATTTTTATTATTTTAGTTGCTTTTTTTCTCTACAATAATTAACGTGAAATTAAGAAATCAGCAATTAAACTGAAACATTTAAAAAAATGTATTAAAAAAAAGTGAATGTACCTGTAAAAAAATGTTGATTAATCTATATTAGAAGCTCTCAGTTAGGCTAGAAGATGTTAAAATTATCATTTCAACAAAAATATTTGAAAATTTACTGAA